CAAACTGCACAGAAGAGATGAGAAAGAGTGACTTGGCCAAAAATGCATGATATTTCAGATACATGTCCAAGCATCACTTCTCTATACAGTCTGTCATTAAGGGAGTAATGTGTCCAGATACAAAATAATTTGTTATTTCTGGCAGTAATAACGGGCATGCTTAGTAGCTATGGTATTGGCTCAATCAATATGTGTGAGATGTTTTTAATTGAGGTTGATGATTTATATTTTCTTCTACAGAACAGTTCACAATTACTGACAAACATTTCTAGTTCTCAGCTAGCTGATCTACAAATAAAACAAACCAGTGGTTCAACTCATTCTGCAACAATCTTCTAGCCCAGTGCCTACCAAATTTGCACATCCTAGAGCTGTGACTTTACTATTTAAGACATATCTGGTGAAATCTGAATATGGCCTGATCTGATTTGGATTTATGTCCTCACCCAAATCTCACATTGGATTGTAATCCCCAGTGTTGGAGGAGGGGCTTGGTGGGAGGTAACTGGATCAATGGAGGCAGACTTCCCCCTTGTAGTTCTTATGATAGTGAATGAGTGCTCACAAGATCTGGTTGTTTAAAAGTTTGTAGCACTCCCCATTTTGTTTTCTCTTCCTCCTTCTCCAGCCATGTAAGATGTGCCTCCTTCCCCTTCACCTTCTGCCATGATTGAAGGTTTCTCAAAGCCTCAACAGCCATGGTTCCTGTACAGCCTGCAGAACTGTGAGTCAATTAAGCTTCTTTACCCAGTCTCAGGTAGTTCTTTATAGCAACGCAAGAATGGACTAATACAGAAAAATGGTACCAAGAGTAGGATATTGCTACAAAGATACCTGAAAATGTGGAAGTGATTTTGGAACTGGGTAATGGGCAGAGGTTGGAACAGTTTGGAGGGCTCAGATGAAGACTGGAAGAAGAGGGAAAGTTTGGAACTTCCTAGAGACTTGTTGAATTGTTGTGACTGAAATGCTGATAGTGATATGAACAATAAAGTCCTGGCTGAGGTGGTCTCAGATGCAGATGAGGAACTTATTGGGAATTGGAGCAAAGGACACTTTTGTTACACATTAGCAAAGAAGTTGGTGGAATTTATATTTAAAAGGGAAGCAGAGCATAAAAGTTTGGAAAATTTGCAGCCCAGCCATGTGGTGGAAAAGAAAAACCCACTTTTTCTTGGTAGGAATTCAAGCCAGCTGCAGAAATTTGCATAAGTAAAGAGGAGCCAAATGTTAACAGCCACAACAATGGGGAAAATGCCTAGAAGGCATTTCAGAGACCTTTGTGGCAGCCCCTCCCATAACAGGCCCAGAGGTCTAGGAGGGAAGAATGGTTTTCTGGGCCTAGCCCAGAAAAGTTAGAGCAACCTTGGTTGAGCAAAGTTGCTCAAACCCTGGGCAACCTTGGGACACTGTTCCATGTGTCCCAGCCACTCCAGCTCCAGCCATGGCTAAAAGGGCCCCAGATATGTCTCCGGCCACTGCTCCAGAAGGTACAAGCCATAAGCCTAGGCAGCTTTCATGTGGTGTTAAACCTGCGGGTGCACAGAGGGTGAGAGTTGAGGCTTGGAAGCCTCTGCCTAGATTTCAGAGGATGTATGGAAACACCTGGATGTCCAGGCAGAAGTCTGTTACAGGGGCAGAACCCTCATGAAGAATCTCTACTAGAGCAGTTCAGGGGGGAAATATAGGGTTGGAGCCCCGATACAGAGTCTCCACTGGGGAACTGCCTACTGGAGCTGTGAAAAGAAGGTCATTGTCCTCCAGATCTCAGAACAGTAGATCTACCAACAGCTTGCACCATGTGCCTGGAAAACCCACAAGCACTCAATGCCAGACCATGAAAGCAGACAAAGGGGCTGTAGCCTGCAGAGCCACAGGGGTGGAGCTGCCCAAGGCCTTGGAAGCTCACCCTTGGGAGCTCACCCCTTGTATCAGTGTGGCATGGATATGAGACATGCAGTCAAAGGAGATCATTTTGGAGTTTTAAGATTTAATAACTGCCCTGCTGGGTTTTGGATTTGCATAGGGCCTGTAGCCCCTTTGTTTTGGCTGAGTTCTTTTGGAATGGGTGTGTTTACCTAATGCCTATACCCCCATTGTATCTTGGAAGTAACTAACTTGTTTTTTTATTTTACAAGCTCATGGGCAAAAAGGACTTGCCTTGTCTCAGATGAGACTTTGGGCTGTGGACTTTTGACTTAATGCTGAAATGAGTTAAGATTTGGGGAGACTGTTGAGAAGGGATGATTGTGTTTTGAAATGTGAGAAAGACATGAGATTTGGGAGTGACAGGGATGGAATGATATGGTTTGGATTTGAGTCCTCACCCAAATCTCATGTTGAATTGTAATCCCGACGTTGGAGGAGGAGCCTTGTGGAAGGGTGATTAGATCATGGAGACAGACTTCCCCCTTGCCATTCTCATAATAGTGAGTGAGTTCTCACAAGATCTGGTTGTTTAAAAGTGTGTAGCACCTCCCCCTTCGCTCTTTCTTCCCCGCTTCTCCAGTCATGTAAGACGTGCCTGCTTCCCCTTTCCCTTCTGACTGATTGTAAGTTTCCTGAGGCCTTGCCAGCCACGCTTCCTATACAGCCTGCAGAACTGTGAGTCAATTAAACCTCTTTTCTTTATGCCTAGTCTCAGGTAGTTCTTTATAGCAATGTGAGAACAGATTAATGCAGGATTTTTGTTTAGTTAATAATATTATACTAATGTTAAGTTTCTTAGTTGGGAAATTATACTATAGTTACACAGATGTTAAAACTGGGGAACTTAAGGAAAGTGAGATATGGGAATACTCTGTACTAGTTTTGCAACTTTTCTATCAATTTAGAATTAGTTTCAAGTTAAAAGTAAATAAATGTATGTACATAGATATAAATATAGATAGGTATATGAATATATTTCCATTTTTATGAGATCAGTGCTACTCAAAATGTGTTCCACAAACCCTTTATTACCAATCATAGACAAGCTAAAGCTAAATATAGAAAATGGAAGCAAGCATTTAGAAACTTTTATAACAATTTGACATTTCTAAAATATTTAAGCATATGATTCTTTTCCTAGAAGTTCATTTTTATCACATTTTTTAAAAGCATCAGTCTGTATTAGGATTCTCCAGAGAAACAGAGCCAACAGGATATGTGTGTGTGTATATGTATATATAGGGATTTATTTTAAGGAATTGGCTCATGTAATTGTGGAACCAAAATCCAAAGAAATTGGATGGGGTAGACCAGCAGGCTGGAGATTTAGGGAAGAGATGCAGAGTCCAAAGGCAGACTACTGACAGAATTCCTTCTTGCTCAGAGGAGGTCAGTCTCTGTTCTCTTAAGCCCTTCAACTGATTAGATGAGGCCCATCCACAATATGAATCATAATCAGCTTTACTCAAAGTCTACTGATTTAAACATGAATCTCATCCAAAAACCACCTTCACAGAAATATTCGGAATAATATTTGACCAAATATCTGGGCACTGTAGTCCAGATAAGTTGGTGCATCAAATTAACCATCATCTAGTCCATGACAGATTAAAAAATTAAAAAGACGGCCGGGCGCGGTGGCTCACGCCTGTAATCCCAGCACTTTGGGAGGCCGAGGCGGGTGGATCACGAGGTCAGGAGATCGAGACCATCCTGGCTAACACGGTGAAACCCCGTCTCTACTAAAAATGCAAAAAATTAGCCGGGCGAGGCGGCGAGGGCCTGTAGTCCCAGCTAATCGGGAGGCTGAGGCAGGAGAATGGCATGAACCCGGGAGGCGGAGCTTGCAGTGAGCCGAGATCGTGCCACTGCACTCCAGCCTGGGCGACTAAGCGAGACTCTGTCTCAAAAAAAAAAAAAAAAATTAAAAAGAAAAAGAAAAGTTCTACATTGGAGATATTTTGAGAAGCTTTGTGTCATATAACTTTTAGTAGTCTACCAAATGGTTGTATTAATTTAAAAATTCACACTAAGATTGCTTATTTCACATGGGAACAGGGAAAAATTCTGGGAGCAGTGTCCTGGCTGGTGTGGGAAGAGGAGGATCTAACCACTTTTTAATTCTGACCAACGAGCCTGAACCATTAAAATCTACCTTTGTATTGCTCTAATTCAGAGTTCCCAAACTGTCTCATGTCACAGCATTTTAGTATCCCTGTAATTTTTTCACAGAGTCCCTAGGCAAAAGGAAATACTTACCCAACATTTCATTTATCCAGTAGTTAGGTCCCAACAACTTAGTTGTTTGAAAAAAATAATACACATAAATCGAAAGAAAAAAATTTATTTCATTCTTAAATACTCGGTTACTTTTAAAAGGATGTGTATGCCCGAGGTCAAGAGATTGAGACCATCCTGGCCAACATAGTGAAACCCTGTCTCTACTAAAAATACAAAAATTAGCTGGGCATGGTGGCACGCACCTGTAGTGCTAGCTACTCGGGAGGCTGAGGCAGGAGAATCGCTTGACCCCAGGAGGCAGAGGTTGCAGGGAGCTGAGATCGCACCACTGAACTCCAACCTGGCAACAGAGTGAGACTCCGTCCAAAAAAAAGAAAAAGGGTTGCATATGCCAATTGGGCACCAAATATCTTCTCAAATCTTGGAACCCATGTGGACACACGTGCCTTCACCTCCTATTCCACACTGATTTTCTCTGGGGACTTGCATTTTACAACTGCTGAAAACTCAGCTTCCCAAAGACAGGACATTTTTGAAAGAAATGTAGCACAATCTAATGTTGGAACAATGAACTACCTTGAGCTAATAGTTCAGTTGATATCCAAGAGATGTCAAGTGCTACTGTACTTCCTTGATATTTAAAATGTGCCACAGCCCCCCTCTAAGTTTGCTGCAAAGTCTTGGGTGCTTAGGACACAGTTTGGGAGTCATGACTCTATTCTTTTCCCATTTTTAATTCCATTTTCTCATGTGCAAAATATAAGCATGTTCTTTAAGTGTCTAGTAACAACCTTTGTTAAACCTAAGGTTATGCAGAATATAACACTTACTGTTATGTCACAACTCTGAGCTTTCACTGCTAGCAATCACAAGGTTGTGTATTCTCTTTTCATTCTTTATCTGTGGTGAACATAGTAGACGAGACGACCTCCAGTGGCCAGACATCTCAAACATATGCCTAAGAGAGCATAACAAAATATTTTGCTTTGTATTATATTTAAATCAGAATACAGTTCTTAACTATGCTACTTTTTGACAGATAATTAGATCAAGAGTAAAAGCAGCACGAAAATACGTATAATTTGGTATACTTCTCACTAATGGTTAACCATTTTCAATCATGTCTTAATCTAATTCTGATTTATCTGACCAATTATATTTATTTCACTCACCCTAAATTCTTATAATTGTAGCCAAAAGTCCCTTAGATCATAAAAGCGACTCTGACAACAGTTCTTTGGGGCTTACACACAGCTTGAAATCAAAAGCCTTTGTTTTCTTCCTCTGGGTCAATATCTCCTCATCATAACTGTTGTCATCATCATCAGAATATGAACTATTTATCTTGTTTGACTGGTGTCAACAGTTGGAGAAATTACTTCTCTCTGTCTCGTGTTTCTAGCTTTCTCCTGGTTGATTTTCCATAGGCAGAGGAAAGGAGAAAGCAAGAGAAAAATCTCTCACATCCCTGCAAGATTGTTCCTTCCTAACAACAACAAAAGACTTCCTCCCACCACCTTTCTGAAGCTTCTTTTATCTACTATTTACTAGCAGCTACATACATTGATACAACCTGTCTCTGATATTAAGCTCCTGTCTTGTAATGGAGACCATATTCCCTTTCCAGGGATACATCCAAGCTTATCAAAACACTTTTTGAAAACCTCTTTCATAATAAACAGAACACAATTTTAGACGGTGGCACAGCGTGACTTCGCACCGTAGGACAGAGGTCTGATGCCCAAATGCCGTACAGTGGTACGCTACCCATGACCTCATTTTCACCAGCCTGACGCTGAACCGCCCCCTTCTTTCTTGCCGGGGCTTTTCTATAAACCAGTTGTCAACAAATATATTGGATTCTTTACACTTTGATCTACCTAATATTTTGAAAGAGGCACATTATTCACTCAACTCCAAGTTCCTTTCCAATTACCTGGCGGGGTTTGGTGGGGAGCAGTGAGCTGGATACCTGTTTGAAGCAGGTGTCCCAGAAGCCACCTTGCTGTGCATAGACGTCAGCTGGCATACAGCCTTCAGTAGTAAGGTTGATGGAAGATGTGTAGTAAAAATTAAAAGCCTAGGAAAAGTACAGGCCCCCAAGCCAGAGCAGAGCAGTTGAGTGTTAGTTCCTTCTGAGAGCAGGGCGGGAACAATTTCTTGCCCTGCTCCTGGGGATAAAAGTAAAGTCTAAACTTTTTTGCAAAAGTGACTAATTCCCCATCAGAGAGCCTCCCGCGATTGCAGAGCTAATTTCGTGAGTCGTAAATGAAGGGTCTTTCAAAGTGAGAGCTGACAGAGGAAGAAACAGAGAAAAAGTAAAAGCAAATCCCTAAACATTACCCACATTGCAAAACAGAAGGGAATTTTCAGAAGCAATGAGAGAGAACGGCCCACCTCCAGATCTCCCTCAGACATGTTTTCTTCCTTCCTGACTCATCGAGTTTCTTTAGGAAAGCCTAGTGAGAAGGGATTATGAAGCAGGCAAGGGAGCCAGCCTTTTCTGGCAACACAGGGCATTTTGATTTCAGAATCTGCAAATCTTCAAGAACAGACCCGGTGTGCTAGTGTTCTAGGCTGGAGTCCAGCAGCAGTTCAGCTGCAGATGAAGCAAATCAGCTGGTTGGTGCTGTCAGCCAGAGACCCAAGGACTTTCCTGGTGCTACACCTCTCTGGAAGTTTGAAGACATTGGGACAGGTTTGCCTTCTGAAATGTGCAAATGTCACCAGCCGGGAATGGCACATGCCAAGAGGCATCTGAAAACAGATCTCCATCTGGCAATGGGCTAGGCTTCCTGGGACACAGATTAGAATAGTTTGAAACAAAGGGGCGGAAGCACCGGTTAAGCTTTTCATATTGTTACGGTCTCTGGGTCACTTCCTGCCTTTGGAATTTATTTCCTTTCCAGGTTCAGCAAAATTCAATGAATGACAAGAAAGGGGTTGGGGTTTGTCTTTGCCTCCAGCCCAGTCGAGGAGCAGCTCTGCCTCTGTGAACTTGTACCTCTGCAGTGGTTACATCCTCCCGCGCTGTTTGTTCACACTGAGCTCAGCATGGGAGAAGCTTCAGGATGCAACAATAAATTAGGGAAGGGAGCCATCTCCAGTTGAGTCAGATAAATCCTCTTGTTCCTAGAAAACAGAAAAGGAAAGACTAGATTAGGAAGGGCAAAAATGATGTTTTATCAAGGAGAGCTCTTTCTCACCAGCTCCCCGTTCAGAGATGTGGCCGGCCTTGAAGGTAGGAGGCCGAACACGGCTCCATGCAGTCGCACCTCCCACCTCCTGGAGTCAGCCCGTAGACCAGATAGGTACACAGGACAGTGACATTTGCTATATAACAGTGATCAGCTTTGTTTTCTTTTACCAGTATTTAATTTGCACTTTGCTCCAACAGGGACTTCAGGTAGCAATAACTGCCTTTCTGACAGCATTTTCATGCTCATTTTGGGCACTCTGAAGCGAACATGAATGCATATTGCAAAATCCTTCTGCAGCCCCCAGCAATCCCTGTACATCCGCTGCAGTTCTGCAGTGCAGAGACCCCCAGAGGCCAAGGCAGACCCTTTTGCCCCAACAGCTGCAGGACCCTATCAAAACTTAATGTGGTCCCTGCTGCCCCTGTCATTGCTTTGAGAAAGAGTGTGTCTCTCTGAATAGTGATCCACCATCATGAACAAGTTCCTTCTGAAAAGCCAGCTCATACAGCCCTTGTCAGGAAGAATCTCGTAGAGCCTGTCCACATGTCCAGAGTCCATCTCTCTCTAGACCGAGGGGTCAGAGTTCACAGCTTTAGAGAAAGAGGTCATTGTTGCTCCCACCTTTAGTCTAAACACAGCTAAACGAACAGCAAACACTATTGTAAATACAAAGGAAGTCGCAACTAGTGATCAGCCTTTCTCCTGATGCCACTCGATCCCCCAGAAACAGGAACTAAAGCTTCCCCTCCATCAGTTTAAACAGTCTCTTTGCTCAAGGCTGCAGATGCCACCACTGTTGAGAGCTAGCAGTTACAGGGCTGCTGCCTTGGGTTAACACTGTGGCTCAGGCGTCAATCAAATTGACCTTTTCAAATTGCACCAGCACATCTGGCATTCACAGAAATGGTCTCCTGTGACCGCCACAGCAATTGTTCCCAACCACTTCAGGAAGTTCCAGGGGAAGGAAGGAAGTAGGTAGGGCAGAGATGGCTATATAAATACCAGGGTCAGGAACACCTGTAGAGTATGAAAGCAACAAGAAGTCTGCCCAAGAGTCCTAACTTTCCTCCACGAAAAAGCACTCTGTCAGATTCAGGCATTATGTTTCTGTATAAAAGTATAACCCAGGTCTGGGAAATTTGTAAATCATTACTTTGAAACTTTACAGAATCTGATCGCACAGGGCTGGCAGGGAGCCAGGAATCTGCATTTTTATCAAGCCCACCTGCTGCTACTAGTACAGGTGGTCTGTGGCTCAGACTTTGAAACACTGTGCTGTAAGGAATTGTGAGTCACTGTCAGGTTACTACAGAGGAACTGGTAACACAGATGAAAATTGCACCTGGATTCCAGGCCAGGCTTTGGCAGTCTGTATGATCGACCCTGGGTAAGACAATTTAGTTCTCTGAGACTAAAGGCCTCAGGGCTAGATGGAAGACCTTCAAAAATTTAGAAATAGGTTCTAAATTATGGCCCAAAGGCCTGCAAATTTGGAGTGCTGGTCCAAACAGAAAGACCAGGGTCCTGCAGGCATGCCCTGAACACTCACTGAAGTTCTTCATTGCTGAAAACTCCAGCAGCCAAGGTGGAACCTCTTGCCCAAGACTGTAGTCCTAGAACTCTGTGGTTATGGGATGCAAGAACTGCATCTTTGCTCTCAGCCATTTCCAAGTAGGAGAAAGGGAAAGAAAGAAAATTCTATTTATGTAGTACATTATATGGATTATTTTTTAAATTCTCACTTAACCCTTGTATCATTAGTCTCCTTCTGAAGATGAGAGAATTGAAGATCAAAGATGTGAAATAACTTACCCCAGTTCCCCCAGGTCTCATGGCTACAGAATGCTTGAACTGAAATTTCAATTCATGACTTCCAAGATCCAGGTTCCATGTTCTTTCCACAAAACGATTCAGAACTGCAAGTTTTGCTGTGGCCGTTCTGAAGGCCTGGATGTTTGGAAACCCTCAAGTCTCCCTGACATCCATCCCACATCTGTTCACCACTCTACTTCAGAATCTCACACACCCTCAGTTTTTCCTCTATCCCTGACCTCCAGCTGATCCCTCAGCTGCACTCATTTCTTATCCCTACAACTTCTTGACTCCCAGTAATTAAAATACATCAGCTGCCACTTCTCCTGGGCTGAGGAGGATGTTTCTGGCCCACAACTACTCCAGCCACTGACTTCAAGATCAAGTCAACTGGGTCCTGGAGAACTCAGTGTATCCCTAAGGATTTCCATGAATTGAGAATCTTTAAATGAATGCTTAAGAGGTGTTTGTGCACTTACTGATTCTAACCCCCACACACACAAGCACATACACACAAACACGCACACACACATACACATACACACAAAGAGATCTCTTTTCAACTCAGGGCAGAGACATAGAAAACCCTGGGAGAGAAACCAGTGCCCTTCTATTAGGAGATGACACATCGAACCTCAACTTCCTAATAATAGTGATTATTCTGGGATGCTGGGCACCCCCTAGTGGGAGTAATGGAGAGAGAAGACAGACTGTTTTGATGCTGTTCTCAATAACCCATTCCACCCACAACTTCCTGCCCCTTCACTGCCTTCTCCTTCCAGCCCATCTCACTGCTCTTGGAATGACTCATTCTTCCCACGATGATTGGGCCTTTTGCCCCGCAAAACCTTCCCTGTCTTTACAGACATAATGGACTAAAATTAAGCAGAAGGCAACGCTGGCAGAACAGCAGGAAAAGCTTCCTATGGGGAGAGCTCTTGAAATGCTAAAATGGCCTTATAAGGCAAACTAAGTAAGACCTAACTGCGCTGGGCAGAACAATAGAGAATATCTCAGAAAGATATTCTTGGAGATGAAGGGGATGAGGGAAAAGCTATTTCCCTGATTTCATACATTAATGCCCCCATCCAACATTCTCAGACTGATTTCATGACAATATAAATGCCCTGTGTACATCTAACCCCTTTTAAGGCCAAGAGAACATCCAACATTTATACATTTGAAATAAACAGATAAAGCCTGTCCCAGCAGAGTGGCAGCTCATCCATGAACAGGGCACTACGTAGCACTGTGGGACATTCTGAACATTTGTGTACTAATACCCACTCTTTTCAAGGCCACTGCCATAGCTCCCCACGACAGGATGAGTCCTACTATGTTGTAAACAATAAAGTGTTTTCTGAGTGTTTACGTTATACTAGGCTTGAGATTCGTAAGCATTTTTAAGACATGCCCACGTCTAGTTCAATCCCTTCTCCAAACAAGAGCCTTAATAAAAGAAAGGGAGAGTAACAGATTTAAGTGCATGCGCTAAGAATCCTTCTGGGCATGTTCACAGTTCTTATTTTCGTTAAGTATTTGATAACTTGTTCACTCGGTAAGGGGCCAGCCAGTCAGTCTCATCTTGGGGACCAGTGCCTGTCTCTAGTAGATGTGACAATGATAGAGCACCCACCTTCATACAGAGCTTTGGTTGTTATGATCTTATTCATTCCTAGATTTGAGTCATCAGCTCATTAGTGCCCATTCAACTTAGCCCTCCTCTGATGAATCCCCTAAAACCTTCCTCATAATTCTACCGATTCCAGCACAGGATTTTTTCTGCTATGCCTCCTGCTTCATCTGGAGCCTAGTGACTTGGACAGTCTAATCTCACAACTGCTTACAATGTTAATCCCTTTCATCTCTTCTTTTGGAACCATTTGGTGATGTTCATGTTTCTGACAACCAAGAACCTTGGAAGAATCTCTCGCCTCAGGCGCTCCTATTTTTGTGCCTAGCTCGGCCGCCTTCCAAATCACCAGAGGCATCATAGAATGCAACTCTCTGTGGAGGATTGGAGGACAAATTGGACACAAATTCATTGGACGGCTGAAGGAAAAAGAAAGGTCAAGGATGCTCCGGCTTGGCCAGCCTCGCAGGCCTGACAGCAGAAGCTGAAATTCTTTCTTTTATAACTTAGGCTTGAATTAAAGGCATTTTTTTTTTAGTCTAGAGACCTTTGGCCTTCACTGCAAACAGAACACTCAGTGGGTGGAGCAAGGCTGTCGGTGGCAGGAAGGGCATGCTGACCTCTGGCCCTAATGCCTTCCGTAACCTGGAAAGACACAAAAGCTGTGGTGAGTTAGCTGAGCCACCTGGAGCGCTCTGTCAGTATGCAGAATGTTCTAAATCATGTACAGGGTCCTGCTTTTGGAAAGAAGAGTGGCGATGTGTTTATGGGCTCAGAGAAGAAAACATATGGAGAGAAAATGAGATTTAAGAAGAATAAACCTAACTAGTGGCTGCTTTGGGTGTCTAGAAGACAAGAAAAAACTCAGAAAAGAGGCCAGAGTTCTGAGAGGCAGAGATAAGGGAACTTCTACTACCTCTGTCTCTATTTCAGAAGAGATAAAAACCAAATCATAAATCTAAAGATGAAGGTACATTCACCTAGGGAGAGGACTAAACAAGCTGTTATATTTCAAACAACTATTAGGATTGCACAAAGGAACACTTTTAACTTGCTAGTGGAAGCATTTCTTTCCTGCAAGTCACCTTGGATCAGATTAGACACCAAAGAGAAAATAAAAAAGTATTCTTTTGTGCAGGCTAAGAAGCATTAATTTAGGTTGTCTGTACCAAGCTGGATTCCTAGTCCTGGATGCTTTCAAGAAAAAGTAAAAAGTGAAGCAACCAGAGCAGTTATGGGAAATTCAAGTGTGTGCTTTGTTGGTAAGGATGAGAACAGGGGAGTTCCGCTGGCCCAGAGCTGCAAACGAAATCAACGGTCTGCAGTTTGGGAGGTGACCAGAGGACCCAGACCACTGGATCAGGCGCTCAGAGAGCCAGCATGAGCCTTCAAGGCAGTGCTTGTGGGCAGGAGGACAGATCTAAGCTTCCTGCCACTGCCTATGGCAAGTTGGATATGTATCTGCCAGTATCCCCAAGCGAAGGAGT